TTGCCATATCCTGAACGCCTTAAAAAGCTTAATTTATTACCAATATCCTACTGGATGGAACTAAGGATCTCGTCTTCTTTTTTAAATGTAAGCACGGTCTCTTCGACCTAGATATCTCCTCTTTCGTCACTTTTTCTTCAAACAGCTCGTCTCACACCCGTTCAAGTTCGGACAACTTGCTTCGTGTCAATCATTGCAGGACTTCTCTCTTTAGGAGCTCTTTTTTCAACCCAATTGTCTTTCTCTGGAATAATCTCTCTCCCACCATTCGTAATAGTTCATCGGTTTCCTCCTTTAAAAACAGACTAACTGTTCATTACTCTTCTCTACTTCATTCATCTTTCGATGTAAACAGAATGCGCACTTGGAAAACCTTCTGTTCTAAGTGCCGCTCTTTCAACTTAAGCTGTTGTTCGTAATTCGTCATGTTTTCTGTAAATTGTATATTTGTTCTCGTCTTTGATTTATGTTTGTTATAGTTTGTTTACGTTAAGGTTGGTCTTCACATGGGGCTATTCATGTCCTGTTGACCATACCTTCAACCATATTATGTAGTGGTTTAATCTATTTTATGTTTGGTTGTAAAGTTAATAAATATATATATATATATATATATATATATATATATATATATATATATATATATATATATAATATATATATATATATATATATATATATTATATATATATATATATTTCGGACTGCTCCTTCTAATAAAACGGTTTTAGGCTTATTTTAAAGCCTGTTCATTTATCTTTCGAACAAATGGTCATCCGTGTCTTTACTCTTTAGTGCAAGTAATAACTGCACAGGAGAAAATTTAGTAAAACCTATCATGTTTAGATGCCGCTTAATTATACAAATTTACTGTGTTATTCCATAGTCGGTTGCAATGTTTGAATTTTCTTGTTCAAACTTTAATGTTCTTGTTGCCACATCGGAAAAACTAGTAAGAACTTGTTAAAAACATTCTAAAAGAGATTAGGTTGTTTTATTTATTTCAAAATCCTAAGTTATTTCCAGAAATCATCAAAACAATCTTATGTCCATGCATCGTCCGAACTAACGCCATCGAATTGGGCGCAATGTAAACATAAATTAGCAAGTTGACGGCAAGCTAAAACACGCTTCAGCTGGGAATATAAACGCATTTGAAGCCAGCAAGTGAATTTAAAATAGTGTATTTGGAAGCCTTTATTACTTATTTTTACAAGCTATTGCCAAAATGCCTCAATTTGCTCGTTTTGTTGACAAAATAAGTTATTTTTATCAAGTACCGATTTGTTATTGCATCTCGAATTTTTGACTCTCCAATCGCAATCACTTAAAATACTATTATTCACGAACTACTGGATTAAATTTACGAAACAACCCATCGTTGGAAAGCTGAATGTCTACGCTTTAAAACAAATGTAAACCTGAACGTTTTACTCTAATATTCGTTTCGAAATTTATATTTGAAGCAAGGACTCCGTTTTTTATGATACACCCTGCATATATATATATATATATATATATATATATATATATATATATATATATATATATATATATATATATATATATATATATATATATATATATTGCAAGTAATTGTGAGTAATTGTAAGAATTGCAAGTAATTGTAAGTTGGTCTGATAGGTTTTTAAGTATTATGCCGGAACCACCAATAGTGTGTTTTCGTCGACGGTCTAAAAACCTTAAAGATCATTTAATTTAATTTAATTTAATTGCTTTTCCATCATTGTGTGATATAGACATAAGCACATACGCACCTGGCACACAACGCAAACACAAACACAAATGCAAACACACTAAACTGATGGCTGGGTAACCACAACAGCCTGAAAAGCCAATTACTGTGGGCCCAAAAGATTAAAACACAAACATATATACAATTAAAACGCCTAAAAACAACAGTTCACTGGTTCGGTTAACGTTCTTGCACTGTTGCATTTCGGGCAGATAGTTTTAAATGTTCTTGGATCATCACATTCGTACGCTTTCTCCATGAATGCGGCAAAATAATATCTTTGCATTACTGACTTAAACGTGCCCAGGTTTTCCATACTTTAAGTCTAACGTGTCCGTTAAAGTGTTCCAAGTTCTGATTGTTCTAATCCAAAAAGATCTTTGGAAAGTCGTTGTTCTGCATTGCGATACTTCGTACTTCGCTGTATTGGTGTTGTTAGAAGCTCTTGTGTTCCGTCTCGTTGTTTTCTTATGTAAAACAAAGGACGAGTTTGTTAAGCCGTGGATTACTTTGAAAAAGTACACCATATCAAGATACTCGTGCCAGTAGCATATTGGAAGTAGTTGGAGAGCCTGCAGTCTGGATGTATAGTCAACAGAACAAGTAAATGGCAGGTTAAGGATGAATTTCGTCGCACGTCGTTGAGTTCTTTCTACTTTCGTCAGTAATTCAACCGTGAACCGACTGAGGTGTCCATACTTGGGTCGCGTATAACCGAGATGTGAACGTACGAGAGCTAGGTAGATGGTTCGCCTTGTTGTTGTGTTGTGGATTGTCCGTGTGTTTCTCCTAATGTAACTTAGCTCTTTGTTTGCGCGAGCACACTGTTGGTTCACTTGTTTGTTCCATCTTAAGTCGGTGGATATCCAGACACCAAGGTCACGCTCATTTTTGGTAGATGTTAACTGACAATCTTTCATTGTGTAGCTGGTAGTGATCGGTTTAAGCTTTCGAGTAACTGTCTGTTTGCATTTAGTTCCATTAAATGATAAACCTGAAGTAGTTGACCAAGATTCGAGGTTACTAATGTCGTTCTGCAGTTGTTTTGCATCGTTTTCCGTTCGTATTTCTTTGAAGAGTTTCGTGTCATCCGCGAACATTACAACTTGACTTGATTTCACAGTACTCGGCAGATCGTTGACGTACAAGAGGAACAATGCTGGGCCAAGGATAGAACCTTGTGGCACTCCAGAAGTTACAGACAGAGGGTTTGACGTAGCTCCGAACACTGTTACGCGCTGTTTGCGATTTGTCAGATATGAGCGGAACCATCTGAGCAGGTTGCCTCCAAAACCATAGTCGTTACGCAGCTTTTGGATCAGTACATCATGGTTGACCTTATCGAAAGCTTTGGACATGTCCATGTAAATCATATCAATTTGTCCACCACGATCCAGGCATGACCCAACGTAGTTGAGGGCATCAATCAGGTTAGTCACACACGATCGTCCGGATATAAAACCATGTTGACAGATGTTGACTGCTTCTAGTAAACGGTATTTGACGTTATTTAGCACACAGCGTTCTAAAACCTTCGAGATAATGCACAGTAGAGAAATAGGACGGTAGTTCTCGGCGTGTTCGTTGTCACCCTTCTTGTGTATCGGTACTATGTTGGCTGTTTTCCACTCGTCTGGTAATGATCCCGAGGAAATTGACTTATTGAAGAGTGTGCACAAAGAAGGTGCAATAACGTCCGCTGTTTCTTTTAATAACTTAGCGGGAATACCATCAGGCCCTGTCGCTTTGGCTGTATCAAGAGATTTCAACATGTGCGATACCTCGACTTCACTAATTGTCAAATCAGTTAGGATTGGTTCGTCAGCTCCGCTGGTTGCATCCCCGTTAGATTCTTCTCTAGAATATACTGACGCAAAGTATTGATTAAACAAGTTTGCTATGCTTTCTGGGTTATCGGCTGATACTCGTTGAGATGTTGCTGCGCCAGCTGTGTCGTTGTTGCTTGCTGATGAAATTGTATCAGGGATGTTTCTTGACTTTGATGTTCTTTTTAGTACCGACATCAGACGCTTCGGGCTTTGATTGACATCAGTTGCCAGAGAGGTGAAGAACTTTTTCCGACTTTCCCGTAACATACGTTTTACTTCACAACGCAAGGTCTTGCTGTAGTGGGTAGTTGTTGGGAGATGACTTTAGTTTTTGCCGAGCTGACTCCTTTCTTCTAATTGCGGTAAGGATGGCACTGTTGATCCATTGAGAAGGATTACGTCCTTTCATTTTTCTCATCGGAATATAGTGTGAGACGGTTGTTGTAAGGGACGGACCATTTGATTTTTGATGGGGGGGTGGGTAGATTTTCAGTTTGCTCGACATTTTTTTTCCGCCTCCTGACACTGTTCGATTTTTTTTTGTCAGTCAGAGGACTTGCACGATATTTTTTTGTATGCATGTATATACATAATTTTTTAGTTTTTTGTTTTTACATTTTTTGGTATATAATAGGTAATTGGACAAGTACTGATATAAGACATTGTGTAGCCTAAATAATGAGAGGACCAGTATTCAAAAAATGGTTGTTCTCCATTTCTTTACTCCGACTCCTATGATGAACATGTACGTAAAAAAACTAGGGAAACTACGAGGTAAAGTAGGTGAAATTTTTATGGGACTCCACAAAAGGTGAGGATATAAGAGTGAGAGATTGAAATTGAGTAGGGAAGGCAACCCTACACGCGTTTCGACCAAACAGTCTTCTTCAGCATGGTTTTCTTAAAGGGGGGGGGGGTATATAGAATTTGCAGAGGAGAATTAGAAAGGAGAGTTTAGGGGTTCGGAAAATATTGTGAACTTTGATCCTCTACGTAGCAAAATCCACATCAGAACTAGCTATAGCTATCTATTGGTCATGTCGTATCATTCATTTACTAATCTCTGTTTTGGTTTTGTTATATAATTATGTACATGTTTTAATTATTACACCAGTTCTCTTACACCACTGTCACTTACACCAGTACTCATATATTTTAAACAAAAATCAAACCATACACGGTGTTATCATTATTTTTATCCCTTATGTATCACTAATTGTCAAACGCCCCTATCCCTGTCTTATAAGCTCCTACACCACCAACACCATATTTGGGTGAAATGACCTACAGTCACATGATCACCCTTACCATCACAATCATTCAAACTCACTATACCATTGAGTAAGTTAAGCCTTAATTGAAGGACCTGCAAATTTGCTTCACTTCACCAATACGAACGATGAACAATAAAGTGCGTAGTGTTGGAATGTCCCGCAAACAACAAGACCTGTGGTAGGATAACTTGACTAATAACATGTTAGTCGTTACATCCTTTCACTGTGTAATTGGTTATTTTCAGTTATTTTGTAATAATTTGTTTTCCTCTTTGTCTCACATTATTTTCCAAACTCCTATAAACTCTCCTTCCTTCTCCCCTTCAAATTATATTTACACCCTACACCCCTCCCCTCTTAAAAAACCCTACTGAAGAAAACTGTTAGGTCGAAATGCATACCCTTGTACGCTATTCCTACTCAATTTCAATCTCTAGCTCTTATATCCTCGCCTTTGATCGTGTCCCATAAAAATTTCACCTATTATAGTTTCTATGGCCGTGATTTAATCGTAGTTTTTCTCAGTTTTTTACGTACTTGTTCATCATAGGAATCGGAGTAAAGAAACTAATAAAGAACAACCATTTTTGGAATGATACTGGTCCTCCCATTATTTAGGCTACAGGGCTTTAGGAAGCTCTTTTTGATTGGGGGGGGGGCTGAAAGCGAGGGCCGAAGGCCCGAGGAAATTTTTAAATTTAGAGTCTCTGAAATGCCATTTCCTGGACCTTGCAGCCCCCAGCTAGGGCTACACGCAGCCCTGGGCTACACGCGGAAATGCACCGAATGGCAAATAAGGATTACCACTCGAAAGTCTTGCTCGATATTTTTTTTCGTCCGTTTATTCTTGCACGATATTTTTTTAAAGTTTGAATTGCTTGCCCGATATTTTTTTTGGGATTCTACCCACCCCCCCCATCAAAAATCAAATGGTCCGTCCCTAAAGAAAAGCCGTACAGCTGCATATGGCATTCGGTTAAAAAATTAGAACGCTGACTTTTTCGCGTTCTCTTTTTTTTTGTCGTAAACAACTCCATATACGGAAGTTTGTTCCATATATGGAGAAAGACATTTCTTTTTTTTCAAAAAGGAACAGATTTTTAAAAAATGCTGATTTTAAAAAGATTACGAAAATCTTTATAGAGGTATATTACTGTTCACAATTTTAGCACTTTTTGAGCACTATTTTGAGATTTTGAGCACTTTTTGAGCACTTTTTAACCCTTTTTGCCAGAAGTTTGTTTGGATTTTACCAGCGCAATCGGGAAGGCCTAAATAATAGCTCGAATAATAGTGCATTTCGATATGCGTGCGTACTCGACCAATTATTTGGGAATGTATGCTTTTTACACGTACTCGACTTCAAAAGACAGTAAACGGCTGTACGATTTGTTAGCTTACTGGACCAAAGGTAAACGGCTGTACGCATTATTGTAACGCATATTGTGTGTACTCTATCTAGTTTAGGCTATAGTCAAAATATCCATCACATGTATCTAAAGACTAAACTATCAAACTTTATAATAGCGTTGTCCGCAATTGACGTCACGAAAATTCGACCCCCCGCCAAGACTCAGACAAACATTGGCAACATTTAATATAAATAGTATTACGATTAAGAGCTTCCTGTGAGTTAGTTTGATAGTTTGATCGTTTGTTTACA